GCGGCATCTTCTGAAGCATTGATGCTCAGCCCCAGGACAGCCCGCTAGCCGAGGGCAAGCCGGCCACAAACACACCTGTTCAGGGAGAGACGACAGAAACCCAGGCTGGGCCTCTGCCGCTCGGCCCAGCGCCAGAATCCGCCGGGAACGCCATCAGAGGGGTCTCCGGATACCGGCAGCCTCGGGCACTGAGGGGCACAGTGACTTCCCAGCCCCAGCGTGGCCTGGGTCCTGAATGGGCAATGCCGGGCGGGGTGGGGACCATGTGGTCAGATGGCTGAGCACAGGCAGGACCAGCTACTTGCCCTTTGCCCCCAGACTTCCGGCCCACCAGTGTGCATTCAGGAGCAGACCCGAGGAGTCTGGCCTAGCGTGGACTCTCTGGCCCAAATGTTCCCAGGGCCCACACATGGACACTCTCTTGTGCTCCCTCCCTCCCTCCCCTTACGCTCAGCACGTGACTGTGTGGGGACAGAGCTCCAGGCCCCACTTTGCAGAGGAAGCCTTAAATGATTTCATCAAGGCCACACAGAGAGCAGTTCCATCAGCACCCGGGTCAGCTGTCCTGTCCCTACCCACCCACCCAGGCAAGTTATCTCATGAAACAAACGTGTATCGTGCAGTGGGCCAGGCTCTATTTTAGGAACTTGACCTCCACTGTCTCAATTAGTCCTTAGGACACACGCCCTCTGAGGGAGGCGATCCTATGTCCTCATTCCCAGGTGAGCAGGGGAGGTTGATGGTCAAGGTCAGAGAGCTGGGATAAGATGGGGCCAGGATTCAAACCTGGGCATCCCGGCTCCAGAGCTCTTTCCCGTCTCTGAATGGGAACTAAATGAAAGAACCCTGGGAGACCAGCTGCCCGGGGTGCCCCCCCACCCCCCGACCCCGCCGTCAGAGTCCTGACCTCAGCCCACACCATCACCGACACTGGCGAGCTGTGAAAGCCAGGAAGAGGAAACTCCATTCAGGGAGCAGCCCCACGCCCCGGGGGTGCACCTGAGAATGTTTTTGTTTTGTTTCTCATATTTTCTCCCATTCCTGAAAGAAGGAAGATTCGAATTTTTTCTTGTTTTGTTTTGTAAACAAATGCAGATACGTCAGTGTTAAAGGACTGACGCACCCTGGCTCAGCCGCAGCGAGGGCTCGAAGAGGTGAGTGAGTCATTCTTCATAGAACGCTTTGCCCCAGACACTCGGGTTTGCTGCCTTCAAATGGGTTCCTGGTGCTTCTGGGTGCCTCCTGCCTTTCCCTTTCTTGTTTGGTTTGGGTGCTACTAGCTCATTGGGAGTGTGTGTGTGTGTGTGTGTGTGTGTGTAGGAATGGGTTAGATTTATTTCTCCAGAAACCTAGGAGTTACTGCTCTATTCTAGAGAGGTAGGGAGCAACAGTTTAAAAAGGCAAGCTAGCAACTGGTCCAGACACGCATGCCGTGGGCCTTGCCTATTGTCTGCAGTCTACACCCTTCCCACACTGTCAATGGCATTGCGATACAGGTGCCAACAAGGTCACAATCCTCAGGCCCTCCGGGTGTGGCCAAAGCAGCATGAGCCAGTCCCTGGTTGGACCCCAGCTAAAAAAAGTGATATCCCATAAAGCAGTGGTCCTCAACCTTTTTGGCACCAGGGGCCAGTTTCATGGAAGACAATTTTTCCAGGGACTGGTTGCGGTGGTGCAGGGCCTGGACACGGGAGCTCAGGCAGTGCTGTCAGTGAGGTTTTGCTCGCTGGCCTGCCGTCCACCTCCTGTATGCAGCTGGTTCCTAATGGGCCGCAGACCAACCATGGTCGGTCCATGGACTGTGGGTTGGGGACCCCTGCCATAAAGGATTCCCAAGACCTACTAAAACGGGACCAGGCTACAGTGAACACCAACCCGTCATCAGCCACTGGAAGGAGACTGAACAAAGCCACCCAGCACTTCCCTTGGAGCAGAGAGGGCCACAGGTGCGGGGATTCCGAGTAGCAGCGCTGCTGGGTCACGTTCACAACCCTGGCCTCACACGGCTCCCTCCAGGCTGCTCTCTGGCCCCGGCTGCACGGCCAGCAAAGGATCTATCACTGCCCCCGTGACCCAAATAAAGGTGACGATGCTTCACCACGGGGCTCACATCCTGTCCCAGAGGCCTCTGCATTTGGCCTTCCAGGCCTCGTCCCCCACAACGGGGGACGTAGGGAAGAAAACATGATTTCTGGTTCCATTTGTCCCATGTGAAAAGTTCGGGATGCCACGCTAGCTCCCCTAGTCACTCGCCTTACTCTCTCATGACCAGCTTTGTGCCAGGCATGTGAAAGGTTCTGGCCAGACCACGGAGAGCATGAGACAACTCAGTCCAACGTGCCTGGGACTTCCACTCCAGTGCAGGAGGCCACCACACAAGAGGTATAAGGAGTGTTCCAGAGGGGGCAGCCCAGGAAATTACATATTCACGGAGAACCTGAAAGGCCTGCAAAGGTCACTTGTCACACAAAACAATCCATTGGTGAAGGAAGGAGGGAAGAAAGGAAGGGAGGGAGGGAGGGAGGGAGGGAGGCAGGGAGGGAGGGAGGCAGGGAGGGAGGGAGGGCGGGAGGAAGGAAGGGCCTAATGCAATCAAAATGATGGGATCTTTTTCTGGTTGTTTTGTTCATGGCTGCCTAATTTGTTGATCTTCGGCCTAAGTGTTCACGGCACTATGGGGATAAAATGAATTCCTGCTGAGGCCAATAATCCATTCACTCATCCTTCATTCAACAAATACTTTAAGGTTGAGCCTTATGAAGCGAAGGGCTGCGCAGGTTTAAACAGTGGAACCCACGATCTCACATGGTTCAGCGGGCTCGGCTCGTGGACCGGGCACTCCGCTGCGCTCCAGGGACCAGCTGTGAAGCATGAATCACATGGCAGAGGCCCCTCTTCTCACGGAGCTTGTATCCCAAAGGGTGAGATAGGAAACTATCAAGTAAACAAAGGACAACTATAATTCTGAAGCGTGATAGCGCAGAGAGACAGGGGATGTGGGAGAAAGCAATCGCCAGAATGGGGGGTCAGGGGCTGGGGGCGTCAGGGAAATTATCTCCCAGAGGATGACATGATGACATTGGGGCTGAGACAAATGGTCAGCCACGTGAATGTCCATGGAGAGTCAGGGCAGCCCTGGAGCGAGAACCCCAGAGTGCAAACCCCAGTCTGGTCCGGGCCAGGCTACCAGTTCCCCGGGACCCAGCAAAGGGAGGTCAAGGCTTCCACGCCAACCCATACTTGGGCCGAGGAAACCCACTCAGGAGCCTTCCAGAGCAGGGGCGGGTGGTCAATCAATGTTTCTACCTCCAAGCACACCAGGTACCGTTCCACAGCTAGCAAAAGAGGATCGGCTTCCTTATTGCATCCACCAAATTATGCTACATTAAAATTTTAATCGGTGAACATAACACTGGAAAATGAGTACATTCATATGCTGCTGTTGCCAATGTAACCTGTCAAACTTTTTTTTTTGCAAAAGCAATATTGCAAAACACAGAAAAATCCGTAATGATCCTCATATTCTTTGGCCGACCAACTCTACCCCTAGGGAATTCATCCAAGAGAATAATCTGGTTCAATAGGATAAAAATGTTCTCTTTGGAGAATGCCGTTGAGGTGTTAATTATTGCACGCACAAAGGGAAGATAAACAACAACAGAAACACCTGGAATTACCTAAACAACTACAAATAGGGAGATTTGAAAATACCGCATGATTCACTTGACGAACCAGCATACACCCACTAAGCATTATAACAAAGATTATATGGACTTCCAGGCATAATCGGGCAATCAGTCCCTTGAAAGAAGCAGAAAGAAAGCCATGTACATATTTTAATGGAAGGCAGATCAACGATCCTTCAAGGTGAACAAGAAAGTTGAAAATTAAATCAAGGCCAGTGAAGTGAGGGATTGCTTATTTCAAACATCCTTCCAAAATATTGTCATTATACTGTGTTTTCAAATTTCTAAAAATTCCTCAGAAACTACTGTACTCTCCGGATGCTGCAAAAGCCCACCACCAACACACAAGGACATGGGCTGATTCTGTAACAGGGTGCAGCCAAGAGGGGAGCCTCAAATAGGGATCTGTAATAAGATCCAGAAGAGCCTGGAGATAATTGGCTCCACACCACAGGGCCACACCTGTCCAGAATCTGGCAGCTGTAGCCAATTGTGAGAGGAGCCGGAAATGGGGCTGCAGAGGAGGATTGGCGCCGGGATTTAAACCGAGTCTCGGCAGGCATTTGAGGGGGAGAACCATGCGCAGCCCTGCAAGAGAGAACCACACAGCTTTAGCAGAGTGAAGACTCTCTCGGCCCTGAGAGAGAGAACCACGCAGTCTTGACGGAGTGGAGACTCCCGTGGTCCAGGGAGAGAGGACCACATGCCTTTGCCAGAGTGGGGACCCCCACAGCTTTAGGAGATACGGTACTCTGGACTGGGCAAAGGGGGAAGGAAGGAAGAACTGTGTCTGTGGGTGCTTTAAGGGATTTTAGGATTTTTGGTGAAGACATTAGGTCCCTACTTTAAGTTTGCATAGCATTAAATAAACATTTCCTTTCCTTTTCACAAATCTCTGGCATTGAGAGACGTCTTTCCTCTGGCAGCAGACATAACGGACCTGGGGGCTTCTTTTAATAATAGTATATTGCCCCAGGCCCCCCTTGTTTGTTCTGTAACAATTCTACCTTTAAATGCAAAATGGAACCGAATTTGGAGATGTCTCCTATGTTATATGAGTATCCCATAGACTTTCACATACGGATCCAACATGTAAGACCCAACTTTCAATAACAGTGCAATACTGCACGATTGTACAATAATGTGTCTCTTTGGGGAGTGTGGCAGGATGCAGGGGCTGGGGGGGGGGGGGAGTTGTGTCTTAAACTCCTGACGGGGAGGAGGAGCCGCAGATGAGAAAAGGTCCCTCGCCCCTCCCATCCCCCTTACCTCCACCGAGTGAGGAGAGGCGGGAGGCGTGGCTGGCGCACTCACCTTTCACGATCAGCTCCGCGTAGTTGGACACTCCAGAGCCACCATCAGAGCGGATCACGCAGCGGTACTTGCTCACACTCCGCTGGGCAGTGTCTGCCACGCTGACCGTGGCCGAGAAGCGCCTGTGATTGACCACACGGGTCACCATGAGGGCCGTGTCCCTGCCGTTCCATTGCTGCAGGATAAAGGAAAAGAGGGAGAGGAGAAATCAAATTATCGTGTGCGCTCCCTGGTGACCTTGAACATGGAAGCCCCACCCATCCCCACGGGAGGGGCTCCTGGGGAGGGGTGTGGTGACAGTCAGTCATAAGGGGTTTCCCTGGCTGGTTATGGGGAGCGATCTGATTTAAGAATAAACTCTGCTGGTGGGCTTATTCAGGAGGGCAGATGCCTGGCGGTAAGGAGAGGGCCCTGGCCCCTTCTAAACACTTTGGTTCCTTGCTCAGCCTGCACTTGGGGGTTGACACCCAGCCCCTTAACCTTCCCCCCATTTCCCTTCATCTATTAAGCAGTAAAGACAGGGTTCCCTCAAAGACAGATTCAGACAGATTAGAGAAAACCCAACCCTTAAAGTCATCAACAATAGCCCGGCCTCCGGTCCCACACTAGTGTCCTGGTACCCCAGGGTGGGCTCTGAGTCCCACCCCACCGAGGACCAACCTGTCCCCAGGGCAGAGTGTGGATGCAGGCTTTTCAGCACCTCCTCCCCTCCTTGACATGTGCTCCTTCCCTGCCTGGAATCTCCTGAGTCCCTAGAGATACTCCCTCTCCCTTAAAACCCAGTTCAGTTCATCACCATCTCCGGCAAGCCCTCCCACCGTCACGCCACCTTCTGGAAGCTATTCACTCTCTGTGGATGGCGCAGACTTCTCACGCAGTTTTGCCTACAGGTGTTTCCCGCTGCAGACTGTGGCTCCAGAGAGCAGGCCTGTGCTCTGTTCGTCTGCAGCACTGTTCCCACGAACCTCCGGGCGTGATAAACACTTCCACAACCCAGGTAAATGCACAAGCATTTTTGCCTTTATCATCCTGAATCTTAGGGGTGATGTTCTGAGCTTGGATAGAACCCCTTCACAGCAGCAAGTTATGATAACTGGTCGGGCACACGCACGAGGATGCAGTTTGAGTGGATATTTATTAAGTGCCTACTATGTACCAGACCCCGGGTCTCCTTTTAAATCCTCACAGCCAAAGAACTTGCATGTCAGCGAGGTTATATAAATATGCAGAGCGAATAAGTCTCTGCTCCAGGTTTTGCACCTTCAAGCCAAGCATTCTTTTCACTAAAGACCTTCTCGTCGTTGCCTGCCTTAAGTTAAATTTTTTCTCCAAAAGTAGAATCAAGTGTTTTCATCATCTGGTCAAATTTTGGGAAGCCTTGGGATTTATAAATTTCCCCATGTCCCGGGTCTTCCAAGAGGCACTCTTCATCATTCCCTGCACTGAGGAGACAGTTCCCCCACGTGGCGACCTACTGCCACCCTCGTCACCTTCCACTGCCCCGTCAGTGACGTGTCAGGACTGCAGGAAGCAAATGAGGCGGGACAGCAGGGCGCAGCCATGGGCAGGAGGCCAAGGCGTCCACACGGGCTTGCTCCAGCCTGGACGGGGAGATGGCAGGTGATGAGTTTCTTCTGTGTTGTTTTGTTTTTAAGATTTTTAAAATTTATTTTTAGAATTTAAGGGAGGGGAGGGAGAATAAGAGTGAGAGAAACGTGCATGTGTGAGAAAAACATCTATCAGTTGCCTCTCACACACCCCCCCACAGGGACCTGGCCAGCAACCCAGGCACGTGCCCTGAGCAGGAATGAAAACAGCGACCTTTCAGGCTGCAGAGCGACGCCCAGCCCACTGAGCCACACAGGTCAGGCCAGTTTCTTCCTCCTTTTGCTTTCTCGCATTCTCTGGACTTTCTGCCTTAAACATGTTTTGCTTTTATACTTGAAAATAATCAAATACCTGGTATTTTAAAAAGCCACGGCAGTGTGAAAGACAGTCACCACCTCCCTCCTACCAGAAAGTGAGCAACGTGACCAGTTTAAAAAACAACAACCACCACACAACAAGGCAAGGAAATGGAAGGGGGAGGGAAAGCCCTTAGGGCCAGAACTGCCAGCGACATGCCGCATGTTACAACGAGGATGGAACGATGAGGAATGGCCAGACTCCAAACCCATCTCCCCTTCCCCAAACAGTGCAAAGAAGACATAGAGGAAGTTGTGGAAAACTGCAGGGAAGGACCGTGACTGGAGGAAGCGTTGGCTGATGTGTGGGAGGGCCCGGGAAGACAAGGGGTCGCCAAAGAAGCCCGTTCTCCCCACTGCTGGGCAGGGTCCTGCAAGGCTGCTGTGGAGGGCGTGGGTGAGTGACTGAGTGATGGGTGGGTACCTGCTAACCTGATTTCCTTTTAGCAGCATGCATACATCTTTTTTCGTTTTTTTAAGCTAGTAGTGACTTCTCACGAGCATGGGCTAAGTGTTTTACACGCCTCCTCATTAATTCCTCACAAAAACCCACAGGGTGGACACGCGGTATCCGTATTACATGAATGAGGAGGCTGAAGCCCAGAGAAGCGCAGCTGCCTGCACAGGTGTGCACAGCTGGGATGTGAGTGCAGAGCGTCTGGTTTCACAGCCTGTTCTGGAACCATCACCCATGTAGCTGTAATGCACCCTCACTCCCCAATGGGAGAGAGTGCGAGTCACAGGTGTGCCCAGGATCCACCTGTTTTGCAATCAATTTCTTAGCTGAGGATCAAAGAAAGAAAAAGAAAAAAAAAACCCACCATGACAGGGTAGAGGAGAGGGAAGCTCTGTAGAAGGCGGGAGGTAATCAGCAAAAATGCATATGCTCCAACCAAACACGCAGCTCAGGAGACACAGGACTCTTTCTCAGACATCCCAGGCTTTGAACAGCCAAGACATTCAGGGTATGAGAAGGGAGAGAGCAAGGGTGGTAGCGACACACGGGCTCTAAGAAACAGGCGCTGGGAGAGGAGTGGTTGAGGAAAGGTGCCCCCGAAACAAATAAGCGAATAAGCCTAGAGATGCTGAGGGAAGAAGTACAAGGAGCAAATAATGCCGCCTGCAGAACTCAGAACGGCGTTAGAAGTTGATTAGTCCCAGGAGTAACGCTGCAGAAAATCGGGGACCTGGAGGACAGGCTTGAAAAGGAGAACCGAAGAGCCAGACAGCCAAACGGCAAAGATGAAAGGCACTGGAGAGATGAAGAAAACGGAGACCAGACAGCTAACTACCACGGAAGTAATTGGTATCCTAAGGTAGAGAGCGGAAAGAAAGGAACACAAATCACATCCCGGGAAATACTAGGTCACTTTCCTGTACGAAAATAGAACCCAAATTTTCAGCTTGAAATGGCCCACCATCTCCTTGATTAAAATTTCTGAAAGCCATAGTAACTCAGGTATCTGTTCATAAAAAAATGGACTCATAAGGGTAAGGAAGTATATAAAAATCCAGACCAAAAAATGTGCCGGAATTAATGCATAAACCAATCTGGGTTAAAACTCCTCGTCTGCGACTGTTTCCAAATCCAAGGATGTGGCTTGTCCCCCCGTGGCCACAGGGGAGCGAGCTCTCAAGAGGCTACAGGTATTTAGACACTTGTAAGAGGATGGGGTGGAGCCAGGGAAAGACAGGAGAGGGAGCACCAGTAAAACAGGCCACCAGATCTTCAATGTGTGCCAACCTGGGCAGGTGACGTGTTTCACTGAGCTTCAGTTGCCTCACAGGCACAACGGATTTGATCCCGTATCTACTTCGCGAGCTATGGCGACGAATAAATGGGAAGGCATATTCCGGCATTAGCGGAGTTCTCCGAATTAACCATGAAATTCGCCACGAAAAGTGGGGTAAGCAGGATCACGCCCCTCCCCCGAAGCTGTCCACATCCTAACCCCTGGAACCTGTGGCTATGCCACCTTCCGTGGCAAAAGGGGCTCTGAAGATGGGACTAAGGATCCTGAGGTTAGCCGGGGTTATCCAGGGGGGCTCAGTGTCGTCACAAGGGACCTTATGTGTGAAAGAGGGAGGCAGAGAGGACAGAGTCAGAAAATGTGGTGACAAACACGGAGGTCAGGGTGGTGTGGTTGATGGCCTGAAGGTGGAGGAAGGAGCCGAGGACTTCAGGCAGCTTCCAGAAGGCAGGAAAAGGCTTCTCCCTCTGAGCCTCCAGAAGGCACACAGTCCAGCCAACACCCCAACTGCAGCCCACGCTGGCCATTTCGGACTTCTGACCTCACGAAGTGAAGTAACGAATTTGCGTTGCTTTCAGCCACTGTGTTTGTGTGGCTTGTTACATCAGCAACAAGAAACTAACAAAGAGCAAAAGGGCTGATTCAGTGCAAAACATTCATTTTCATTTGTACTTTATTTCGATGTCCCCTCCAGTATTATTTACTTTTCTCCTTAATGATGTCAGATCCTGCAGGACCAGTGAGGATTAGGCGCCTCCCCCTGAACGGTGATTCACGCTTTTCTGTTTAGCTCCAGAACCACCAGGCTTTCTCCCATCAAAGGATGGGAAATCGCAGGTTGTCTTATAAAATCTAGGGGAAAGGAGACTGCTGATAATCACACTTGTCATATTAGGAGCAGGCAGCGGCAGGACAGGAGCGAGCAGGAGGGCCCAGAGTCACGAGAGAAAAGAACGCTGTGGTGGACAGTGGGCAAGGAGAGGTGAAGGTTAAATTCAGAGAGATGAGCCCGCCCACAAGGGCAAGCAGGTGCTGAAGGTCAAGGCAGATGCAGAGCAGCCCAGGGACCCAGGAAGGGACAGAGATCAGGAGGGATTCTGGAAGATCAGCGATGGTGAGAGGCTAAGACGCAGGATGCTGCGGCAGTGTGGACATGGGTTTACGCAGGGTCAATGTGTAAGAAGCACAGGTCCCCGCCACTGTCTCGGCCCTGGGCAGAAGCAGAGGAGAAAACGCAAGGGGAGGGGTCGTTAAGCAGCAAAGAACTTAGAAATCCGGGCCCGTAGGTTTGAGTGGACACAGGGAAGGGCAGAGCAGGAGCTATGCCAGGAGCTGAAGTGGACCAGAGACCAGGTGGGGAGCAGACCTTCCCAGCCGGACTGTCAGGCGCCATGTCAGTGCACTGGGATGAGAACATGGGGAACGCCAGGAAAGAGGAGGGGGGCTGTGAAGGGAAGGTC